AAATACTTTTGCCAAACTCTTAACAGTGCAGTCCTTATTATATGATTTCTGAAGGTTTTATCTATTTTTTTCTGCATAAAAAGATAAGCATGCCACCCAAAGTACAAGTCCCATCCCTCGACATTCAAAATCCCTTTGTTGGATAAATTAATCCAGTCAGTCATCCACGTTAATGCACAAGAATCATAATAAAGTGTCAAATTTGGTACTTTAAGTCCTCCACGTTCTCTGGTATCTTGAATAATCTTAAATTTAACTCTCGCCTTCTTGCCTTCCCAGATAAAACGATTCAAATCTCTTTGCCATTCTTTCAAGTTAAGTTCATTTTTTAAGATAGGTATCATCTGAAATAGAAAAGAACTTGACTCTATGCTTAAGACTGCAAACTATGGTTGGAAGAACTTAACACATGTGATTTGAATAAAATGCTTAGAGGGGCTAAATATGCAAATTAAGAGAGGACAGACTTTGTCTTCAATCTTCCTTAATCTACTTCTGTTTTTTTTTTTCTTAATTTGAGTATGTATGAAGTTATGAAGCATTCTGGACAGTGAGATCTTATCTATTACTCTTTTACCACTTAAGTTGTTTTACGATGTTAATAGCATAATTACTTAATATCATCTTGATGATTTTCTTTTTATTCTGTGCTGGTGTTATTATTTACATTCTTTTCTTTTAGGATGGGAGCTTGCAGTGTCCAACCTGCAAAACCATCTATGGGGTGAAGACTGGCACCCAGCCTCCTGGAAAAATGGAATATCACCTCATCCCGCATTCACTGCCGGGACACCTTGACTGTAAAACTATCCGAATAATCTACAACATTCCACCAGGAATACAGGTGAGATTCCTAGGTAGGGGTCTTAAGAGGAGTGTATTTGCAACTAACACCGTAGTGGGCAATGCAGTATTTAGATTTTAGCTGGGTTTTTTTTTTTATCCTGCTCCTGTAAACCTTCTGTAAAAAGTGAAGCCTCCTTCAAACTACTTCTGGTGACCTCATGGTCATATCTTTCAGTTTTCTGGGAAGCAATATAGAAACCTTTAGCCACCAGCTTCTTGCAAGATGATTTTGGTTTCTCAGGCTAGCTCAGGGGTAGGCAACCTTGGCTCTTTTATGACTCGTGGACTTCAACTCCCAGAATTCCTGAGCCAGCCAAGCTGGCTCAGGAATTCTGGGAGTTGAAGTCCACGAGTCATAAAAGAGCCAAGGTTGCCTACCCCTGGGCTAGCCGAAGCATTGATTAGAAGTCTCCAGTCCACGTAGCCCCAAGCCAACTCAGTTCTCAGCCTTTACAGTCCCAATGAGATAGTGCCCTCTGCTGAAGCTGAATTTTCTTTAGACCCATCTAAAAAGGGATTTTAGTTAATTTGTATGATAGTTGTCTCAGTTGGATGTGCATTGTCTTTTACCTAGAAGTAATAATTATTTCCTGTTCTTTCTAGGGACCAGAGCACCCGAGTCCTGGGAAGAGTTTTACTGCCCGGGGTTTTCCTCGACACTGCTACCTCCCAGACAGTGAAAGAGGCAGAAAGGTAGAATGCCACCTTAATATTATAATAAATATAAAAATGTGTCTCTGGAACTAGATCTAGTTACCAAAAAACAGCGTATCCTGTCTAAGGCACAAGTTTGTCATTGACTGACATTGGAGAGTTTCTTCCGAGCAACTTACACAATGATAGCTTATGTTGCTTTGGATTCTACGAAGGAAATAGAGGCCTAGAAAGAAAAGAAGGGTTGCAGCGTTCTAGTTGTTTCTAACCAATGGAGGAGTTGAAGGTGATGGAAATTGCAGTTCAACCCTTTGCACACATGTATCCCCCTCCCAGGCACAACTGAGAGTAATTATTTCTTAGCATTGGAGAAGAGGATCCAATTTGCCTAGGGCAGTGATGGCGAACCTTTTAGAGATCGAGTGCCCAAAAACCCCACCACCACCCCTGTCCCCGCTCCGCCGTGGCCGCTGGACCACCCACCACTTCCATAGCCTGCCATAGATCACCCAGGCAGCCCAGCAGCTCCATGGTGTCCACGCCCTCCACCCGCGCCCTGCAGCATCATCTGCATATGATGGGGTGCAAGGGCGGAGTCTTGTCCCCACTGCCCGGCTACCATGTTCTTGGCTGCGCAGCATTGCGTGGGCCGTGCCTGGGGGCGATTCTCCTCTGGAGGGCTGCTGGGGAGGAGGGGGCCGTGGGAGGAGGTGGGGCTGGGGCGACGGTGCGTGTGCCCATAGAGAGGGCTCCGAGTGCCGCCTCTGGCACGCGTGCCATAGGTTCGCCACCACTGGCCTAGGGAGAGTTGGCTTGAAGTTTCACGCATGTTCCTTCCCTATTATTGCTCAAGGAGTCATATGAGATTCTTTTTCTTCTCTGTAGCCTTCCCAGTTTTATCCTCAAAATAAGAGAGGGTAAATAATTCAAAGCCAGTCAGTAAATGTCACGGTCTCCTTGATCTTAATCCAACATCTTCCCTATTGAATGCTCCTTTCAATGTGCTCGATGTTATCAGGAGTATTCCCCTTTTGGAAGAGGGGGAAAAAAACCCTCCTTTCTGTGTAAAATAGTGGAAGAAAGTTTGAAGCAGTAAATGCTTTGGAGCCTCTATTAGTGCTTGTAATGTTACTTCAATTGCACAGGGGTACTTGTGGAGTTTATTCATATCCATTGGGTAGATTTGCACCAGAATCCAAATCTTTGCAAGAACATCAGTGGAAAAAAAATTAAAAGTAATTTTGCTTGTGTGATCTAAAGCCAGGGGTCCCCAACCCCCAGTCTGTGGACCAGTACCGGGCCACGGCATGCCAGCAACAGGGCCGCACAAACAAACAAAGCCCCATCCACGAGATGCCGGCAGCACACAAAACCACTCACCCTCTGGTCCACGGAAAAACCTCTCTCCACGGAACCAGTCCCTGGTGCCCAAAAGGTTGGGGACCTCTGATCTAAGCCCCTTCTCATTTGGACACTCAACTCTTCTAATATTTGTCCATTTCCTCTGGCAGGTGCTGAAACTGCTGTTGGTGGCCTGGGATCGAAGGCTGATCTTTGCCATAGGCACTTCAAGCACCACTGGGGAATCGGATACAGTCATCTGGAATGAGATTCACCACAAGACGGAATTTGGGTCCAATCTCACGGGCCACGGCTACCCTGATCCCAACTACCTAGACAATGTACTTGCT